GGCATCAGAAAAAGCAAAGTGTTTTTATAGTCCTCCCTAGAAAATGCCACACCTTTGAAATCCCTACAGTAGGCTGACTGCATCCCTTTTTTCTTACCTTGGACTGGGTAATGCTTTAAAATACTCAGATACCTCAGCCATTAGGTGTGTTGGTCAAGTTATTTTCCATAGGGTTTTTTCAATAACTAAATGTACCCTAGAAAAGTTGAGCTATGGTAAACGTACTAACCTGCATTGTAGGAAAAATTGGAGAAGGGCATGCCTCCCAGAGGAGGGGGATACCTTATGAAAAGGTTGGGGGTGCTCAGTAGAAAATTTGAATTTAACCCCTAAAAAAGAGCAACCTGGGTGTGATTCAAGCTTTATTTGACCCCTAAAAGGTACCACTAAAAATGAAATAAACTTGATTACAAGCCACTGTTCAGGAAAGGAGCCCGCACTAGTAGACTGGACTCAAGAGAACCACAGAAATTGAGCCTAAAAATGGACCAGAATCCTTGACTAATACCTCTAAGCGAGAAAAAAAAGCATCTCTGCCTTTTTCATACAGAGGTCTCCCCAACTGGGGAGGCATGTCCCTTCCATGACTGCATGTACATAACCATGATCGAATGTCAATTTTTGCCCAGATACCCAACCAACTGTTACTGCTGACACCCTAGTGGAGAGGGACTATAATTGGGTAGAGTGTCTACCCGGAACTCAGTATTGAATCTCTAATGAGGACTAGCAGAACATTAGCTTAGATCTATTGAATTACCTGGCCAATGCAATACCAGAGACAACTCCAGCTAATGTAGCGGTACAGCCAAGCCATCCAGCAGTAGTAGCATCCACAGAAAATTCAGCCAAGAAAACATCCAGCATAGATAACCAACCAAAATAAACGCCAAATGTCATCCCAGTCAGTGTGGCCAACAGTACGAATTGGCGGTTTTTCATGGCTTGTTTGACTGAAGCTGTAGTGCTGAGCAAATGTGGTGTCCCAGAAGTGAGACTAGGAGGAACAGGTGGCCTTGCAGGAAAGTACAGAAGTACACACAAAAATACAGCGATACATAATCCAAGTTCGAAATATGTGTACTTAATTATTTCATGATCTGCATATTTTGAAAGTGATGAATTACTGACATTGGCTCGCATAACCTCATTGGGTGCCATGGCTGGTCCCACAGCAAATGCAATGGCGATTCCAAAATATCCAGCTAATGTCCCAATCGCAGTAGCTGTGGTACGTTCGCTTGGGGGGAACCATGTCGCAGATACCAGGGGTGGAGCCCCAATGGCCACTGGTCCTCCGGCCATTAGAAGGAACTGCCCTATGTTGATAAAAACTGATCGCATTTTCTTGTTATCAAATGGTATAACTTGAAGGCCCTTGCCAAGAACCGACAGAAAGGCTATCAAAAGAACAGATACTCTCAGACCTATAATGGAGAAAGTTTGTATTGGTTAGTGATATCGTACCAAAGTGACATACTCCGTACCGTGGGGGAATCCCCTTAGGGTTAAACAGAATTTAGACAGCATTCTGCATTACTCCTTGTACGCCTTGAAATGAGAGGTTTTGGAAAGGTCTAACGCCTAACGGAAAACTGCAACCAGTTTGTTGACATCATGTGACTTTTGAACAAGAAAAACCCTTGGAAAAAAGAGGTTAAGAGGCGTTATAAGAGTACC